TAAATGAATAAATGATTTAAACAAAAGTCGACAAGCTGAAATGAGCAGACACATGGGTAGAATAACCAGAAAAGGGGTAGAAAAAAGCTGTAATTTGTTGGAAAATCAGCTAAAGCAGCCAGCCAAAATTAGCAAAAAATAGCTCAAAAGTAGCTTAAAAAGTCAAAATTGGCACAAGATGCAGAAACAGAACGGTAGCCAAATTAAAGAGTAGGAAGCTGAAATTAGAACAAAAGGTGAATTTAGATGAGAAGCTAAAATTAGCTGAAAATACCTACGACGTAGCTAGAAAAAGCTAAAAGAAATAGCAGAAATGAGCTAAAACAAGGCTTAAATTAGCTGATGGAAACCTAAAATATTTAAATGTACAGAAGAATAGATGAAAGGAGCAGGAAGAAGATGAAGGCCGCTGAAATTAGCAGAAATGTGTGAATTTAGATGAAAAAAAATAGATACAAAGCAGCTCAATAATGCGAGAAATATTAGCAGAAATCAGCTAAAACAATAATAAAAAGCTTAAATAAGATGAAAGAAGCTGACAGAAGCTCAAAAGAGTTTAAATGAAGAGAAGAATAGCTCAATGGAGCAGAAAGACAGCTGAAAAAGCAGATCAAAAACTGAAATTGGCACAAATTGAAACATAACAGAACCAGAACAAAATGTGAAAATTTCACTAAAGATTTAGAAACATTTTAAAGGTTTTAATGAAAGTCAGAAAAAGCTAAACAGCTGAAATAAAAGTCACAGCACACATGGCATAAATGAGCTGAAAGTTTTGATATATAAATTGCTGAATCGGCACAAACATTACGTAACGAGTTAGCTGTAAATCATCACGTCTACAAAATGAGGATGATGAGGAGATAAATGAAAAGTTTGTTTTTTTTTACCTCGGTGAAAACTAAGACTTTGTTGTCCTCCGTCTTTATCGGGTGCGGCAGCAACAAGGAGCTGACGAATGGGTTGACACTTTTCTGCCAGGAGACAAAAACAGGCCGTTTGTTGTGGTGAGCAGGGATGTGCTGATCGATACTGAGATATTGATACTACCAATATCAGAACTTTATATTATAGAATCGATACTAAAATCAAAATATCGATACTTTGATACTTTAGTTATTTCACATAATGCAAAATATCATTAACAGGAAAATAGTGGAAAATAACTAAACTATTCAAATCTTGTCTTAATAATATGTGGTTGGAGGGAACTACTTTTTCTTCCACCTGGGTAATGTATAAGCACAGTAGCCTGGGCTTTGTCAGTCACTCAGTCTGTACATGTATGGCAGGTCATTTTAACATAAAATCTGCATTGCCTGACACTCTTTAATTACATTCTAGATGAGGGGGTCTCAAACTTTTTCATGCCATGGCCCCCCAAACAGCATTAGCTCTGGCCAAGGACCTTCTTGCAAACCCACAAGCAATGCTAGAAAATATACAAAGTAACAACTTTTAGAATATTTTTTCTCACTTTTATTCGCTATTCAAAAACTACACTGCTCAAAAAAATAAAGGGAACACTTAAACAACGCACGCTAACTCCCGATCTTAATCAATGAAATATTCGCATTGAGTACTTTGTTCTGTACAGAGTTGAATGTGCTTCACAAAAGTTTGATTTACTTGGACTTAGTGTGCGTTGTTTAAGTGTTCCCTTTATTTTTTTGAGCAGTGTATTATATTTCTTTAGAATAAGAATTTTAAATTGGGATAAGGTTAGTAGGGCTGCACGGTACATGCGGTAGACACGGTATGAAGTTGGCCAACGGTAGAAATTTATCCTCTACCGTCCTATCGTCATTACGTCATCGCACCTGTGTGAACAGCGCTGCGAGTGCAGAGACAACTGAGCAGGAGTTCAAAATATAATGAAGAAATTCTAGTGTTTTAAAACACGTATAGAGAGGATAAAACCTCAAAATTTCCTCCTCCCGCTGTAGAAAAGTTACGTGGTGTCGCGGGATCATTTCCTCCCTCCTGCTGCACGTCACGCAGAGCGAAGCTTTAACAACTGTAGTTTTTCACACCCAACTGTCGGAGAAAAAAATGTTTTTTTATGTATTGCTACCCACAGAGATGATAAAAAAAAAGACGTGGACGTTCGTTCAGTCATAAATCCATCTTGCTAATGTAAAGTCGGCTTCTGCTCTGATGATGATGAAGATGATGATAAGAGCGCAGCAGCTGATAAGTTCAGCAGGCAGAAGCTCATTGGGCCTCATACAGGAACCGTTCGTACGCACAGATTTGTTCTTAAATTGTGCGTACGAGTGATTTAGGAGAATTTGTGGCATTCACCAATGTTTTCATATTCTACGATTTTTTCAGATACAAATAAAATTCAGGAGTGGTCCAGACCTGTCGTATATTTTACCAGCAGTCAGTCTGCTGTTATCCAGACGGGTTTTCTTCACTAA